GATTCAGGTTAGAGACAGCTCCATGGATGCTCTCCAAACTGGATCATGTTTCGAGGTAGGTAACCAGTTTGATACCAAGCATTTTCCTGTTATGCTTTTGTCTTTAAGCAGTGAACAGAATATTTCCGCTGTTATAATCTCTAAATCTTATACATTATGTTTTTTAGCTACTGACTTATTACAATAAGCTGTTGCATCTGAAATGCGATCAAAGGCAAAGTCACGTAATGAGCGATGTGATGTCACCTTTACAGTATTCGTATTTCGTATGCGTTTCTCTACAGCCTTTGATTTTATCGACTAGTAACCGATCATCTATGACCCTAAGGGCATCCTCAGTGCGTGACAAGGTTGTCTGTTATGTCGGCAATACTCGATACATTTTTACGATTCTAAAGACAATGAACTCTACTCTTGATTGTCTGTAAGTAAACTTTTATTACTGTACATATCTTTTTCCTGTATATCTTTCCTCACTAGAAGATAATTGTAGCCATATCGAGCGGTTAATTGTTTAATGTTCAATTGTTACAAAAATTTCAATTGAAACAAATTTTTGCTAAACTTATTTTAAAGGCAGACAAAAAATTTCAAGTAAATATTTAAATAAGTAAGACATAAATGAACATATATTTGTTTATCACGAATATTTTTACATTAGTAGTAGAGAACAAATGAGATCTAAAACAATAGATACATTAACAAAAGTCCATAAAATCTTATGACCTAACTCATTCGATGCGGTCAAAAATTATTACAGCATCTTTGGTCGTCTAAATGTCAATTTGCTGGCAGCCAGTCTTTTTTCTATCCTGAAGATGATGAAACCTGACTTTAAAATTAAGTTTAAAATATTATATATCAATATGTTTTGTTCCCATTTTGTGAATTCCGTTTTAACAGTAGTGGTTTCGATTCATGTAATTACGTCAAATCATCATTTATAACAAAATTAACTTCAATGTCGTAATATTATACAAAAGGTTTGATTCTGTTTTTTTTTTCTAAATAATGTTAAACCAACCGCTTAGCAAATCGCAACTCCTGTATCCAGGCGACTATATATGCTTACCAAATTGCCTAGTGATCTTGAAGATCTAAAAAAATTATCGAAAAGTTCCTCCATTTGCAATTTCGTCTGTATCAATTTAGATTCTTAGAGTTTAGCTTTAAGTTGGAGTTATCGATATTAAATAAAACGAAACGTAATAACTAACGCCTCCATTAATATCCAAATGGTATCAATATTAATGCAGGCATTCACATGTACGTATGTATAACAACAATAGGATCAACATCAGTAGATTTATCAGGTACTTAAATCAAAATTAATGATTATTCTATGATGACCTGACCGGACCAATAATGGGAATACAAAGGTCGGTCCGTGCTTACAAGCGGAATAATCCTTCAACAATAGCAATTTCATCGAAGAGCTATCACGAACTCATTGAAAACACAGTTATTATCACAGTGATATCATCAGAAAATTGCATATAATTGCTACTTAATGGCTACTGATTCGGGCTTCTAAGGAAAATTAAAATTTTCTTGCCTTTTTATCGTTTGTTATTAGTTAGAAATAGATGATAACAGATAAACAATGTAGGTACCTAGTTAGAGATTTTTCTTTTAATTACTGAACAATATGAAACCTTAACCCAAATCAAAAGAAAGAAAGGTATAAATTAATTTAAAAAATCCTCGTAACTAAAAACTTATCCTTTTAGCAATGACTTCACTTCATGGCCTAATTTAATAAGGGGTGATTCATTGTATATGCGTAATGGTAACAAACGCATTTTCGGATGATCCTGGTGTCTCACTGTTGCTAAGAAGTCTTACTTTATTACGTATAGTTAGAATGCACTATAGCTGAACGTCCTTGTAAAAACCTGTTATAGCAAATTTTGTTGCAAGCGGCATAATAACCATCTCATCTTCTGTGGTAATATAACTTTAGTATGTGGTTGCTTGCTGATCCGAACGAATAATTCTCTTGAAAATTGTAAATCGATTTTCAGCTCTGACGCATTGTATATTATTTAATAAGACTTCTTAGCTCGGTGTCATGGTTTCCTAGAAAGATTGCGTAAGTGAACAAAAAAAAAAACTTTAAAGAATATTTAACCAATCATATCCTATAAAAAATTATGAATGAATCCGTTGATTTTCAGACGACATCAGAGATTTTGTTTTGTTTCATTATTTATTTAATAGTCTATTATATCTTGGATAATCTAATGTCGAAATTTGCTGCAACACCGCCGATATCGTATGGTTAAAAGCTCTGTTAAACTAAGAGCGTAAATCCGCACCCTATATTATCTTCACTACTTTTTTGTGTATTGACATGTGCGTTAGAAAGTGTCAACTGTCCGAAATAATTGACATCAATAGTAGTGAACAATCTGCATCGTACTTACTCGCCGGCCTTGTCGCTCTGTCTGTCTGTGCTGTACGGTTTGATGCAACGTATTGTGGTAACTTTCGCAACACTGAACCTGAACTGAAACCTCCTTTGTTAATGTTATCAACCTGAAAACTCTTTAAATGCCAGCCGTCTAACTGAACTTGGTGTATTATTAAATTGTCACGAATTCATTTGATTTCACTTTTAAATTCAATGCTGCTGTGTTCATAGTAGATACTCAATTGCATATAAGAAGATTTTAATTTCGTTGTTAAAAGCTCTTATTAAATAGTCTAATGGAAAATGTTTTTTTTTATTCTATCAAAAGCATCAGATAAATTAATCACTGGTTCATTATGACGCAAGTGAACTTGTTTTATTTTGCAAAAACCATGTTGTAATGACATTGCAACTTGACTTCCCCTGCCCACACACTATTCCGACAACGAAAGTCTGTCTGACGTCTTTTGACTTATTTTGAATCGGTCGTATAACCAATCAAATCGCTTAAGTGACATATTGTTACTTCAAAATACATAAATTTATTAACATAATAAAATTGCTGCAACCCTTTTTTAAGTTAGAGAAATTTTCTCGCTTAGATATGTGCGTACGCGTAAACCGGTGTCACAAGTCAGTCAGGAATACTAATCTACTTATTGTACTCTAACGTGTCCAAATGCTATGCAAATAATATTACAGTATAATCCCAGACCCGCCAGACCTTGTCTTATTTTCTGATGGACAAAATATGGATAATTGAGAAGTATTAGTGTGTACAATGAACGTACAAACTTGCGTTAACTCACTTTACTTACAGTCTGAGGATTGATTTATCGGACTTAGTATCCCTATGTCACGCCCAACCAATTAGAAAATCTAATACGGGTTTAGGTTTTTTTCCATAATTTTATCGGACAGAACGTTTGCCAGGACCGCTAGTACCTATTAATCTAAAATATTTAGTTTCATAATCTATAACTACCTTTCTAGTAACTAAAACAAGCGTAACAGTTGTTCTATATCCGTATTAGGCTGTTTCAAGTTTATATTCCTTATTCCAGTCGCGTAAGTTACATCGATTATTATTACACAGGAAAGAGAATCCTCTGTACGGAGCTTACCAAATTGGCCTTTGGAGTTTCTTAGTAAGAAGTGGTGACAAATTATGAGTCATTGTTCGCACGTTCTTCGGTGTTTCTACAATAAATGCAGCCCTCACCAAGATTCTCAATGGAACCGGTGTCCAATAAAGCAATATTAAAGTGTCTTGTAATTTTCTTCGTATACAAGAATCTTCATCGCATTGCGTTTGCTGATTGGTAGAAGTACGTTAGACATAACAATCTACGAATGTGTTATTATAAATCGAAATCTGTATCGTCTGTGTCTATAGTTTTAAAGATAAACGCTGATTACATATATTTCACAACGACATATAAATATTGATGTCTCGTCGTTCGTGTACTCTCATGGTAGGGACAGTCTTCTGTCTCGAACATTGAATATTGAATAGTATTCATTCGTGAGCGTTGACTCACCGAGAACTCGCTTTCTGCGCCAACGAGAGCGATAACCTATCCTTTACATGACTTACATTTATATCATTTTATTTTTGAGATCTACTCCTGGAAGCCATTAAACCCTCATTACGTTATACGCGTAACCACAGATCATTATTACTTGTTGGAATGCAATTTTACATGTTTTATTCCCGTCTCCCAACGCAAGTTTTTATTTACCTACATTATTATATTCATACTGATTCTATATAGATTAAAAACTGTAATTTGTAGTGACCATCATTAGATTGTCACACGCAGTTATAAAAAGCCAACCTATGCGCATCGAATACAAATTGGAAATATCCACGAATATTCTCTCTTCGCTTTGTGCCAACTGATTTCAATTTCAGATATCTTTCACATTGGGGCTGTTGAGATAGTAGACTATGCATTATGTAACATTAATTTCATGGAAGACTTACAGGCAAAAAGATAACAGCGGATACTGTAAAAAGTCTGGCACGTGAACCTCCAATAGAAAAAGTGAAAATGCACCGTTGCAGGTTTTTGTGTGTATGGTTTAACAATTTTAGGAACTATTCACAAGATGTAGGAGTTATTTTAACAGGATTGACTCATTGCATAGACAGTAATATAGATTATATAGACCAAGCGAGTGCAGGTCAATGCCGTAGGTATGTTAATTCATTAGTGAAATATTCCAAGTTCTGCTGTTTTAGCGTTCGTCAAGTTTACATTATTTCGTTTAATTTTATATAGCTACTGTGCTGTTATAGTTGCCGAGTCACACAAGCTCTATAAGTACTCCAAATGAAATATCATTTAAATTCAGACTGCAAGTAAAAAGTTTTTGAATATATATTAATATTTTTATTCATTTCGAATAAAATAAAACAATGAATTGTATTGTTGTTTGCACAGAAACAACGACAAAATGCTTTATTAAAAATTTTAATTTAATGATTACAAGGCTAGTCAATGCGAACTGTTAGTAGGTAAGCTGCTTCCTACAGGTCAAGGAAGTATTATTGAGAACTACATTTTGAATTATTTATTCGCAGATGGTACTTCCGCAAGATAAAACGAATCGAGGCGGAGAAGAAGCTGCTCCTGCCAGAAAACGAACATGGCGCCTTCCTCATCAGAGACTCGGAGAGCCGTCACAACGACTTCTCACTATCTGGTGAGCATTTGATTCTTTTAAAGGCATCTTCAAAACCTAATCCTACAAATGTTATAAATGAAAGTTGTTTTGTTTGTTACTCAATCACCCAAAAACTACTGAAGGGATTTGCATGAAATTTGGTACGCATATATTTTATAACCTAGATTGAGACATAGGATACTTTTTATCCCGAAAACATCAGTCAGGTTCCTGCGGGATTCTCAAAAAAACTTAGTTAACGCGGACGAAGTCGCGGATGGTCGATAGTAGCACGATAAATTTAAGTAATGATTTCAAACCAAAATAAATTCAACAACTCGGTAACAGCTATCTGCGATCTTTTACTTACACATGCATCTTTCTACTTTGTTAAGCATCCTATTACAAACAAACTTGGTCCTGGTGCAAAACCGGTTCTAGTTTTTCTAATCGTGGATTGTCCAACGCGTGGGAACGCATGCGCATAGGTTCTATATTCAACACTAATCACTATTCTTAATTGAACACACGTACCGTTAACTCTATTTATACAAATTGAACGAGCTGTTGTAAATTCATTATGTGCATAAACACGTCATAGACAAGATAGGAGCCGTGCTTCGTCACGTATACAATGAAAGCTGTTATGACCTTTAAGTTCTTTGAAATGTTGAATATCTCAATATTTATATTTACAATGTTTATATAATATTGTATTTTGATGATTTCTGTATCACTAATTGATAATTAAAGAGATTTCTGTGCTACTTGTATCTTTACCAGTAGTAGGTAGTATTACTAGGATTAAATTTTGTTATCATGGGATTGGCATTATTGACAATCTATACTTGATTAACAATTTACTTGTTTATAATGGGATTGGCATTTGATAATCCAAACTTGATTGAATGAAAAATAACAATTATGTCTCGTTTATGTTATAAGTCAGTTACCACTTTTAAAAGCTTATATTTTCTGAATTTCTATCAAATATCCGCAAAACGCAAAAAAATCACTTCACAAAAGAAATTTGCCGACTCGTCCTTCCGCTATATTAAAAATAGAATTGATTATCAGTATAAAGTTTCCCCCTCTTGTTACAAAGAAAAAAGCAGACCTTGCAAGAGTCGTAAAACCTCTATTAGCCGGCCTGATAAAAGTAGCTTATGCTGTCCTTATACTTTTTGCTACACTAGCTCTCTTGCATCCACGAACTCTCGAATAGCTTGGATTTGGCATTGCATTAATATTTGTAGCCTTCATATTGTCTTCCAAGAAACTGCTAAATTAAGATTATCCTCGTATCAAGAAACTAAATTGTAAATTAAAATTTTAAATTCGTCTTACAGATTGGAAAAGTTACTATTCCGTGTAACGTTCTATTAGAATTGGTTTTACGAGTACTTTTGGATCGTAATTTATTATACTATTATTTCCAAGTATAATCGGTAAAATATCGTTCTGTGTTTGATGAAATTCTGATTGATTCTATGAACCTGTTAGTAGACCACCAACAGTAACAAAAAGTAAGAGCAAACCTATTGGAGAAGAAAGTCGACCCAGTGTCAGTGTCGAAACTGTATGTATTTTGGTTTTTCGCGACACCACTTCGACTAAACACAATTGCGCAAGACCTACTTGTATTTCCCGACTTCCGTTATTCGCGACGAATACCTACAACAATAGATACGTAAATCGTTTCAAATTTTTCTTTTTAAATATTTAAACCAACCAGTATTTGATTAGCGATAATTTATTATTAGAATATTTTAACGTATTTTAGGCAATAAGTAATGATTCATATACTACCTAAAGTTTAACATATTGAGTAATCGTAATCGATCACAAAATACTGACTAAACTTGACAAAAATCTACAAAATACCCTATAAATAGTCGTTCTATTTATTCAAAATTCGCTAATGGAATTTACTTGATGATAAAAATCGAATAAAGACCGATTAAAAACTTTAGTTATAAAATTACATATTCGTACCAAAGGATAGCAAGAAAATTATCTTTTATAAGCAAAAACGGCTTATCGGATTTGGTTGAAATTTAAAACGCGTATTTATGACCTGGATTAAGGTATATAGGATACTTTTTATCCCGGATTATTTTTAGGTTCCTGCAGGATTCTCAAGAAACTGAACTAATTTACGCTGTGTAGCTGCGGTTGGCTAGTATTCTGTTACCAGGTTTTTGCAAGAAGTCCAAAATGTTAAGATGTTTTTAGTTGTTATGAAAACCGAAACACTTTGTACATGGAAAATAACTATTTCAATATTTTCCTATGATCTCGAATATTGATATCGCGAATTCCACCGGCAATTATCTATTATTCCACTTGCATTTTATTGTGACTTGGAAACGTAATAGGAATTCTTATAACAGCGTTGCATTGCCTTGCGTTGCATAACTAGAGCAATTCATATAATCCGTAACATTTTCTATGATGATCATTTGCAGAAGTTGTAAATTTATACAGCTTCTGCAAACATGTTTAAATTTCATTAAAATATTGAACGAAAGAAGTCAATTGAACAGTTAGCCCGAGGCCCATAAAAACCTTTCGTTTTTTGCCGCGTGGATTTTTTTCTGGTATAATTTTTCTCCAGATTCTAACATCTAGCAAATAAATGCCTAAAAATAGAAAAAAAAAACTTTCGTTGAGAAAAAAAGACCTGAAGATTTGATTCTGTTTAAAATTAATCTTTCATCCATATATAGTATGGTTGAAAAGTGACATTATTCTATTTCAATTTCTCTGATTTAGTACTTCGTAGACCAAATTCTAGGACAGTAAACTTTTCCTTAAGTCTTGTTTGTTTCGGTTGGCGTGACTTTGCTTCCGAAGTCACAGATAACTATTGTTTACCTTGGCCTTTTGATGAATTATAGCTTAGGAAATATTGATTGAATCAGAAGTTACTTACTGACAATTTGATGTTGCAGTAGCAGCAGTACAATCCTATATCAAATGAATTGTAGCAGCTGAAGTAATATTACGCAAGCCACGCCGGAATCATGGAATGTTAACAACGCGAGTGGACAAATTTACATTTAATTAGTCTACCTTGAGATTTCCACACCATCACCACTGGTTAGTCACTGTTTGAGGAAACTGCCCCCAATAGCCTTATAAACGAATGAACGAAACAAACAAACAGAATCTAATTCGTATTCTATGGTCAAATAATTGTTTGCATTGAATACATCTGCATCTTCCGCTATCCGGGCAGACGCTGGACCACTTGTTTACCAGGGCGTTGCATTTCCTGACGAAATTTTATTATAAGTGGTTACACATTTTAGCTTTTGTTCTAATTATGTTCAATGATCACATATTACTCTTCATAAACTTAGAAATTTCCTTTAGTATGTTGCTTAAGACGATATCAGACATATACATTATACCTGTTGAAAAGTATTTTGTATTTTTCATAAAACTTTTTATATTGAAATTGTCAAAGTCCTGTTACTCGTGAGTTTCATTTAATTATGTTGACACAATATTTTATCAATATTTCCCCATTCGGTTATTCAGTTCATCGTTCTCATTCGCGACGCATTGCCTTTAATATCATATTTATTCAAGTACTAATTTTATTTATTAATTATATATCCGCTATTACTGTGCCAGATTATCTAATAGAGTTTCACTAGGTACTTTGGTTTATTGGTGAAATTCCAATTCGATCCGTCTGGTTTAGCTAAATGTGATTCCTGCCGAACTAACTGACTTACTAACGAAAAGTGTTGATCAACCGTAGTCATCATCATCATCAGCCTATTAATATCCTCGCTGTTGGGACACAGGCCCGCCCTATGGACGGTATAGGAGATTGGGCTATGACCCACCACGAGGGCCCAGTGCGGGTATCCACCTACGCCATCGAGCTCCTCAACCATAGTGTTAGAATGTTTTGGTCACTCATATATTAAATATATATATATATATATAATAAAGCATTTTATTCCGATATCTACTCAGACATCCTCTCAGTCTTAGTCCTCTTATATCGCTTAGTTTAATGCATGAAGAATTTACCAATCTGCCATTTACAAGTAAACATCGAAAGTTATTCTCAAACTAATACTCGTTATAGCAAAGTTTTTACGACTAATCGTAATTTTAACTTGTTTGTTCCGCTATTTCCTTATTTTATGCCATTACCAGTTGCCAGGTTAATTTTAATGTTTAGATTCGTTTCCTTGTTATTAATCTAAACATCGAAATTATCTCCAATATCTGATATGAGCTCCAAACAATAAATGTTGTTTTTTTTTTTCAAAGTAAAGTGATATTAATATAACGGTAAATGAAAACAGTACCTTCTACATGATTTTTGCAAAGTGTCCTTGTGGGTTTATTATGAAAGTGCGTTAACGAGGTCTAAGATATGACATGATTCACTATAACTTGACTTCAAGGTTCTCTCATATTATGTTATAAAAATGCAGACCTCCAACAGACGTTAAAAACGTCATTTTAACTTGAACTATGATATAGTCACTATTGTGTAAGGTTACCATCTCATATAACAGGATACGTGTCTGGCATTTCAAGATTTTCAGAGTTGATCTTAAGTTTTTTGATATAGGTTGAGTTCTTTTCCGAATATTTCTTTTATACAGATTTTTTGTGTGACTTTTTCACGTTTCAATATTGATTGTCCCTGTATATCGTCTCTGGATTATTTAAGTTTTTTTTGAGAAATAACTACCAGCAAAATCAAAACACAAAGTAAGCTAGCTGAAATAATTTCCGTACTACAATGGCAAACTCCTACGGGGTACTTTTAGGAACTAGTCTAGGCATAGCATCTAACGCTATTGTTTTTAGATGCCAAGCGTAGCATCATATATAGCTTTATAACTTCGACATTAATATTTATATTGACGCTTCGTATTATTATGCTGTGCCCTTTGATCTCTTCAACTTCACAAAACGGTGCCTGCATTACAACATAATATCATATTGTTGTCAAATTTAATTGTAGTAACCCTACCAAAATCAAATGAAGCATGCATGCCTAGTAATTTCTTGTATCGTTTAGCCGTAGAGGCGCCAAACTGTTTTATTGTCAGTGTAAATAGCGTATGTGTTGTCTGTCAGTATAGTTGCTCAGTATACACGCTACCCGGAGACTGGACCGGTTTCTATGGGAACATCCTGTGCTACTTGTATTCCCAAGGAAGATAATCGAGAAAGCTTACACAGATACTGACGGAACACAGTATAGGTACTTTATGAAATTGAATACCCACACAAGTTTCCTCGCATTGTCGTATTGGAGACGACAAGTAGTTAGATAGCCGAGTCTGACTTGTGCTTGTGACCATATCATTCTGAGGCATCATTTTCCGGCACGAACTTTCAACCTTTACAGTCAACTACTGATTTAAGTTCTGATTACTAATGAAATCAATCCCTAACCATAATTTCTTTAAGTGGCAGAACGCTATTTTCTCTCTACATAATAAGTCGGATAAAAACGAAAAAAAGGATGGTTATTGCTAAATCTTTAGGAATATTTGATAATTATCAGACTATATAAGGTTAACCCTATCGATTAATCATTCTTATAGAAAACTCATTTCGACTGTGAAAATATAGTAGAACTAGCGGCCGACCGCGACTTCGTCCGCGTTAACTTAGGATTTTTGAGAATCCCTTATATGAACCTCACATGTTTCCGTGATGTCTGAATATTTGTTAATGCGTGATTGAGTAACAAACATTCAAACTTTAAAAATACAAACTTTCACATTTTATAACATTAGTAGGATTTAATGTTAATCGTTATTACTAACTGCGCATATCTTCATTCTTCACTTACTTAGCTTTTCTTTTATTTAGATTTGACACATTTGTTTCGGTTCAGTTATACTAATAACATGTTAATACCTACATATGTTGGTAAAATACTCATCATCACACTGTTTATTTAGTCAGACCCAAAAACACTAATTAATCCAATTTCTGAATACCAACCAAATGTTGGTGTGGTTTCTATTCATTTCAATCACAATTGCTTCCAGTATCTTACGGATAATAATTTCTAATAGAGCAAAACATAATGACATGCAAATTAAATCTTCCAAAGGTTTTGCTATAATTTCCTAGTTTAAATATTTTTTATAGACTTTCTTATTTGTAATAATAAAATGGGATACATGCGACCGGAATTCTTATTCTATATGACAGTATTGATACAAAACTTAGAAAATTATCAAATGAGGCGATATATTTCACTTTTATTATGATCTTAATATTTATGTAAAACATTCCTTAAATTAATATAAGAATATTTTGACGAATGACTACAGATATAACTTATTGAATTAATAATTGTAACACGAAAAACTAAGCCAAAACACTCGACCTTGGCGAACTCCTTAGGGGCACCGCCAATAATCAAGAAGAATTGTAACACGAACTCTAAAATTTCTGTATATTTTTCAATCATATCAAAAACAAAATGACGATATAAAAAAACATTGTTTTAGCACCTAAGGAGCTATTTATTTTTTAATACTTACTCGGCTGGGCTTTTATAGACCTCTTCAAATGCTACTTTGGGATTAAATTTGTTTATGACTGTGTAGAGATTGATTCCAGTGCAAAAATATTCCATTCACCAAAGTTGAAGTATCATACTGCAAAATGCACAACAGGAAATCTATTTCTTCTTCTTGCATCTCTCGCCAACCATCAGATTTTCGATTGACCTGTGTTAAGTTTTAAAAATTCAGCGTTATAATACATTTGTAACAGAAGGCTCTAGTCTAGTAGAATCTATATAAACTCTCCAAACACCTTACGTATAAAGATTTTGTCCCCAACCCGATCCTGAGTATGCCTCCCATAAAATTTTCATAAATGTAATTCTTCTTTCTCTTCTTCTTAGCCATTTTTCTACCACTTCGATGTAGGCCTCCTTCTTCTTATGCCATTGTTGTCTTATACATCATCATACCAGACGAAAGATATTCACTGCTGGTCTTGGGCCTCCCCAAGGAATTCAAACCTATTGGTCCTGGGCTGCCCGCATCCAACGGCTCCCCGCGACCTTCACAGACCGTCGGTCCACCTTGTGTGGGACCTACCAACGCTGCGCCTCCCCGTACTCGGCCGTTGTTGCCCTTTCCGCTGCAACGGCCGTCAGTACTCCTTCCTTGCAATATGCCCTGCCCACTGCCACTTAGGACTCGCAATTCTTTGGGCTATGTCGGTGACCTAAGTTTTCCTGCGGACCTCTTATTACAATGTCATTAATTTTCGTCAACAGTACGAGATGGGGACACGGTGAAGCACTACCGCATCAGGCAGCTAGACGAGGGCGGGTTCTTCATCGCGCGCCGCACAACCTTCCGCACGCTGCAAGAGCTGGTTGAGCACTACAGCAAGGACGCTGACGGCCTCTGTGTCTCGCTCAGCAAACCCTGCGTCCAGGTCAGTCCACTTCTTCATGCTTTTGAAAGTTCTGTGCGCAAGCATACTGGTACACTCATCAAAAGACTCACAAACTTCAAGATTTGTTGGTTGATTATTATTATCGTTACATCATGTATAATTTATTCAAAGGTTTTAAATCAAGTTAGTTTTTATTAATAAAAGAATATAAGTTAAGTAACTTATTAAAAATATGAAACATAAGTCAAAATTTCAAATAAAGTTCATGTTGCTTAGTCTTGATGAGTATACTTACTGAGTTTCTTGCCGGTTCTTCTCAGTACAAGGTCTCCCGCCGTAGATTTGCAAACCGGTGGCGTTGCTTTTCGACATTCACAAGTGCTTGTAACAGCCTAGACTGATTAAACGATTTTTTTTTATATATTATAGCTGTAAGAGTGTGTGTAAGGACTTCGGTTACCTCTTCACGTTAAAACCGCTGAACTGAAGATAAAATTTTGTTTAGAGAGTTTGAGTTTTGTTACAGGACGTAGGATAGCGTTTATCCCGAAAATCGTCCTGTAAGGGAGTGAACAGGAAAGTGAAAGATTGTTAGAAAAATGATAAACCACGCAGACGATTTTGCGGACTAGTTAGGTATAAATCTTGACGTAACAGAATAGAAAGTTTTCAATATCTACAGTATGTGGTCCTTCAAAAACGATTTACGAAAGGCCTTATGCTTTTTTGCCACCTACGTGGTATAAAAAAAGAAAGATGTTAGGCACCTTTCCCGTTTTTGCTAAATTCACGTTTTGAATCCACTCCGCACCGCAACGACAGATCGATGGAACCGAAACCGTTTAATGCGTTAAAATCACGTGATATTACTGCGTGCATTTTGGTTTTACGTTGATACTTGATCCTTCCGGGGTAAAAACACACACCTGATAATTTAAAAATTGAAATGGACGAGGTAGATTGAGTAACCTGTTTTGATTGAAAGCATGAGATCTGAATATATAAATATCCTGTTGTACCGTTAATCCAAACGAATTTGTATAATTACCTTCACCTGTATTCTAATTAGTTAGTAGTACTGCTAACCAAACGTCAAATACTGTCAAAATATTCTCTGGTGATACAATGTCTTGTAAAATTAGTAACTAGCACATTAAATAAAGTAAAAGCACTTTTATTGTTCGTCAGTATAGTTTAGAATTCAAAGAAAACGATAACAACTCATACTCCGATTGAATACAACATAAAGATATACCAGTTGCACAACAATCCTGCTTACCAGTAACATGATATTCGCGGGAGGGTTGCTTACGTGTTATAATAACACCCATAGCATATACAGACTGTTCGTGGTCATAAAATTTATACTACATATAATGAAAAAAACTTAATTTAAAATATCACTATTAAAGTATAAAAATGTTTAATCTGGGAGCGCGGTAGTACATGGGCGTAAGATGAAAAATGTATCCTCTGTTCATCAGTTAGATATATATTTTGACAAAAGTGTAGAGTTTGTGAAGTTAGGCCTTGTAGAGTTAGGGCGTATAGAGTTAGAACCTTGGCTCATCATGAGATCTGATGTGCGAATCATATGGTTCTCGTATTGGCAACACTACACGAACATGTTTTTGGTAGGATATTTCCTTAGTTTATCCATACCGATTAGAAACAGACGACTTAATAATAGTATTGAAGAGCGTATATTTCTTGTATTTACTAACTTTATTCATACGGTTAGAAACGCATAGTAAAATAAAAAAAATAAGTAGAATACTGACGAAAGTAAAATAAAAAAAAATAAGTAGAATACTGACGAAAGTTTAGATGTGCTTATAATTTTTCACTTTTACCGTCACAGAAGATATGGTTTACACTTCTATTTTATATGACTGACATGCATGATTGACGACAAGATAATAAATTCCTAGGTACGTAATTACATAGGAACTTAGACGTAATGGAAATCAAATTTATTTGATAGTCATTAGACAGATGTGTTTTGCCTTGACTGAAGGAAATAACGAACAATTAAAGTTTCTAATGCATGCTCGATAGTAAAATAGCCCACTGAAATAGTTATTGTGTGACTTTTTATCATGATCAGCTGAAAGTTTTGCAGCGTGTGTTTCATTTCAAAAATGCCTATTTGGTAATGTTACTTTCGTTGGATGATTCTTGGTATTAATGACGTCAACATAAAGCTTTTTCTTTGAAAATGAAAAAAGCTTGCTCTCTGATGTACCATGTGGGACGCCAATTAAGAATGAGACCTTTTTTGAACTCAGTATTATACCTATATACAGTATTACAAACATAACAAAACATCATATAAGTACATTCTTTGGAAAGCATAATTGTTTCAGGGTAAATAAATAACTTCGAATTCAACACTACAATTATTACACAAAACTAAAAATAAATATTGTTAGGAACGATTCTTTAGAAAAACGCTGAATCATTCAAATGTCAAGATTAGAGATCGCTGACAATCGAAGCTGAATGTGAAATTGCCACGTCATAATAACAAACAACAAATCCTCGGCCGTTCTTGACACCAACCTTCGATCAATACAACCTAACATCCGATTGAAATGAGGTAACATCCAGCAGTCTTTAGATTACTCTTGTCAAATCAAGGTCACGTGCTTATAAACAGAAGGTACTTATTATTACGACGGAGCATAAATTGCAAAATTCAATATCGGGACGACTATAAAATTTATGGTTTTCGACGGTGTAAGGCTTTGTTCGCGCGCGAGAAATATTGCGAGGCATTGAACTGGCTGGAGATGCTTTAAATTCACAGAAGGTCTTCGGGCCGACAACCCTTTTTAGTTATTTAGTGTGAGTTAATACAACTTTGGACGACTCCCGCAAATTCTACTACAACTTTGCAATATCTTAAAACATTTATTGCACGTACTTCGACTGTTTCGAGAGCTTGTATGCACATATTTACATATTATTTGAAATGCAATTTATAAGTGCGATTGCTGCAGCAATTTTAACACTTGGTATTATGAAAGTGACTAAGTACAAACTATGTACATTATTAATTTTATGTTGAGCAAAAGAAGAAGTATTATTAATAATGCAATCAGGATTAGATAAAATAATGAATAATGTTAATTCTCAATAAACATACTGAAATACATAATTTATGAGTTGTGCAAAAATCATTGCTGCCGCTATTTTTTCTGTTTCTTTATCAATTAGAACTTTACCATCATTATAAAAGTATATTCAATTATAGCATTCCCTCATCCACTTACATGCATTGTTAATGGGAATTTTGCGTCACGTGCATATTTTAAAATACTGCGCAAGGTAAGTAATTCATCACGTGTATATTTTTCATTTATAAATAACGGAAATGTGTCAGCATCACATGGCACATGAAATACATAAGATGAACCTTTTCTATCGTTTAATTGCACTTTAAGAGACACTATTGATGCATTCGTTGGATAGTGCACTGATTCGGAATATTACATAACTAGCTGTGCCCCGCGGTGTTACCCACGGTTTATTAGAGATATTTTCGCGCAGTAAAACGTAGCTTATGTGTTAATCCAGGGTGTCAGCTAACTACATACCAACTCCAATTTTATTTAAATCGCTCCTTCCCCTTATTAAAGCCGTTTAAACGTAAATAAGTAACATACATACACACTTAAAAACTTTCGCCTTTATAATATTAGTGTGATTCCATTTTCCAAAAGGTCGTTGAGCCGTTCCAGTTTTGCGACCTAGCGGCGCATCGGCAAGGCCGAGAAGGCCCCGCTTTCGTTACGGACATTGCGTATCATACGCAACACTTGTCCGAGGGACAATACTATTGTTGTGAACAATTGTTCCAACAAAATTTTAACATTGTTTGACCTCGCCCCGTGATCGTCCTTTACTAATATTTTAAAGGGATAAAGTCTGTTACGTTTCTAGAAAGTAAAAACTGGAACTACTGAACTGATTTTGAAAATTATTTCACCAGTAGAAAGCTACGTATTTTTTAATATTTTGAGCTGTATTTTTATTGCGTTAAAAAAAGGTTAAAACATTTTTAAGCAGGCACAGGGCGGTATTATATTTCTGTATTCTGATGTCTAAACTGAAACTCGGGTACATCTAGATGCAGCCAAGTCGTTAGATTTCTGCAAATTTGATTCAAACTCACGACTTCTCGCAAAGCTTAGCTATAAACATAAAAACCAAACTAAACATCGCCTAACGTGTAACTTTTATATAAATATACATTTTTCTTAGAATTGAATTAAAGGATTTATTTGATATAATAATATAAATATGTCCAAATTCAATATGACATAAGTATTTACAAGTATAATATTTTATCAGTTATTAAACATCGTTAAAACGAATTCGAACACCAATCTTTACTAAAATCTTTGTTTGGTTAATTAAAAAAAATATATTGTAGCAAAGTGTGCGGCTGTTCAATAGGTTTAAATAATATTAATCCAGCTGTTTCACGCGACCTAAATTTTGAAGCGCATTGATCAAGGTTCCGTATGTACATTCTGATACAAATTAAAAACAAGCTCAAACAGAAAAAGAACCTAAACCTAGTAATCAATAGATTAACTAGAATTCAGTTACGCCATTGTGACTACATTCAACAAACACATGAGATTCTTTGCATTTTTAAAATCAACACATTATGTAATTGATGCTATTAAAGAATGTCGTGTTACTCAACATTAAATTGCTTTACTGTCCAACAATTATCATATCATAGCTGTTACCTTATAGCTATGACAAAATACAGATCTCTTGTATGCAGAGGCTTGTTATCTTCATTACACAAGCGATTAAATCGTTATATCATTATGAAAATACTTTTCTAATTTTGTGACCACAAATTGAATAGATTTCGTTATGTTTCTTTCAATTACATCCGATTTATCAATGTGCTGATATTGAAATTCTTTCTTTCTTAATTACAGTCCAGGTGAGAGTCTTAAAGATACTTTAATACGAACGCCTGCTGACTACTTCGATTTAACCGTGTTGAATAAATA